CTCTCTTTTCTCTGCCCTTTTGCTTTTAGTCCATCGTTCCTTGATCTCTCCTTCTTTCCCTTCCTCAGCTTTCTCTCTTCTCCTCTCCTCTGTCCTTTCCTCCCCTTCTTGGCATCAGCAGCAGCATCTCTTTTAAGGCACATGTCAAGGGAACTGTCTGGTGCTTTCAAAGGCCTTTGTGCCTAGTCTTTCTTCCCCTTAATTTGGTTTCTCCAAAACCCTTTCCCATAGCATTGCTGTCTCGCCCCCTTTTCTCCCAGCTACCCCTCTCCTCTCATCTCTCCCTCCCTTGCTCTCTTCCAGTTGTCCTAAATGCATTTTATTGAGAGTGATATAGGATACCTCAGATTTAAGAACATGCATATTAACATGTGTGGAGGTAATGAGGATATGTTGTGCTAAAAATTTATTCATGTGCAAAATTGTAGCCTCTTGAATCTACAAATTAGACAAGTTCTTCAAAAGACATTTTGACAAATATATTTTCAGGGGAGAATGAAAAGATATAAAAAAATCTAATCTCTGATAGACACATAGTACCAGGCCCTCCACTGGATCCTGGGCATCCAGTTTCCCCGCTGGCCTCTTCCCATGACTTCTCAGACTGCATAGGTTTCTTCAGGGAGCTTCTTGTCATGGCAACGCGTACCAAAGTATTGTTCTGTTAACAGGCCGAGCAAAAAGGGAAGATGACCTTGGAAGAAAAGAGTGTATTTATTTGTACTGGGATCGATGAAAGACTCAGCGGAGATGACATGCTAAAGGCTTTTGCAAGCAGCAGAAAACTGGCAGGAGAAATAAATTCTGGAAACCAGTGCCTGGTGAGTGCAAGTGACGGCATTCGTTCCTCGCATGTGTGTGTAGTGCTGCCGTGTCCTCACCTCAGGCAGACACATGTGGTTTTAATCCACTGTTTACAGACAGACTCCTTCACTCTATCTCCATCTCCTTCTTTCCCCAAAACCACTTGTGTCTCTTCATCTATCTCATCAGCCCTACATTTGCTCCCATTTCTTCTTGTTTGACAGCAGTCTTCCTTTGTTTCACAATACATCTTTCTTTTGCATAATCCTCATATCCCTGGCCAATAACTTTTCTACATTGTTTCACCTTCTTGCTGAAGTCTTTCTTCCTCTTATCCCCACTTTGTCTCAACTGAACACATCAGGACTTGTCATCCACTCTACTCGGTTCTTTAAAATATTCTCCTAAAGGAGAATCACAACTGTCACTGCAGTTTGTTATGCTTACCTCTTACATGCCACTGCTTTGAGAGAGTCATGCCAAAATCACCTCCTTTCTCCATAGATGTGTTATTGTGTGAGTGTGCAAGTGTGTGTCAGTAGGAGGAGTTAGAGAAATATACTGTATGCTTCTATAATTGTCCAGGTCTTTTCTTTGAGTTGTATGTGTGTGTGTGTTTTGGTGGGTTAGTAACTGCCTATCCAAGAGACAGTTTGAAAACCATAATTGTGTCAAAGTGTGAATGACACACAGCTTCTTGGTATTGAGTGTTTTCACACGGGTAAAAGCGAGTAGCTGAAATGTAGACATCTTTATTGACCTATCCACCTCATGGATCTTACTCCACCCCCCCCACTGGAGCCTTGAAATGCTGTTTACAGTAATGCTGGATGTTTCCACAGCTCTAAAGAAAAACAATGAAAAATAATATGCTAAAGTTTGTCCAGTTTTGAAAGTGGTTTCAATTTTGACAGCTACGTGAGGGCCAATGCAAACCATTTTTGTACCATTTTAAAAGCTAGAGGGTGGGGTGTGTGGTTGAGTTGGACCCTCTCTATTGCAGAATCAACAATGGGGTTGCATTACCAAGATTTTGTGAAAGCAGTGAGATATAAGATGCCTTTTAAAGGGGTTTACCCACTTTTAGGGCCTTTTCAGATGGACGGTTGTTACTGAGAGTGATATGGAGTGAGGATGACAGGGCCAGGGTCAAATCAAGTCCTCCTTCTCACAACAAAACATGAGACAGAGGTGCTATAATGGAACAGTCATGATGGAGGACATTTGCTTCTAATTGACCTCCATGCTCTCAACTGGGCCCCCCACTCAGGCGTGGCCTGTCGCCCCAAGTAACCCCACGCAGCATCTCCATATCTCAAAGTGGTAAATAGGAGAACTCTCACTCTTTCACTTCCACTGATACATAAGTCTTGTATTTTTGACTTGAAAAGCAGGGGAGAGTTTTTTTTTGTGCTCTCTGAACTCAACCAACCATCAAACCATTCACAACTGGGACCCAGAACCATGACCTGGGACCAGAACTCTGAGGAAACGTTCTTTGATTTGCTTCCCTCACAGCGATGTCAGATATGTCAGTGGTGGTGTTGATAAATGT